ACGATCCGCTTCCTTCCTTGCCTGACATTTGTCAGGAAAACAATATAATTTAAAAAAAAAATGTGCTAGCTTGCCAGGAAACCTCGGTTTCTCCCCGAGGCTTTTTTCTGCATAAAAGGGGACTGAGAACTAACCTGGAAGTGTGGAAAGTGGGACTTCGGGACGCTTTCCAGTACTTGGGGGGGTGGATCCCCCAGCGGGCGAAAACCGAGCCCATCCCTCCGAAGGGTTGCGGGACAGCATGGCAGGGAAGGACCTCTTCCTCTTGGCGTTGTCCGGCCTTTTCTTCGAGTTATGGACTGGGTGCCACTCCACCGACACCAGCCAGCCGCGGTTACGCCTCTCCCATAAAGGTAAGGCTGCGCGTGTGATCTTTGGGATGGGTCGACTTCTTTTTTTAAAGGAAAAAGTCACCCTTGCCACCCAGGTGCCCTACTACGAAATCATGTCCTTTTCCTGAGGTCCCTCTCGGATTCCATCACTCCTCTCCTTTCTTTCTCTCTTTGAGATTTCCCTTTTAAAAAGCATCCTGGTTCCATGCGCAGCAACTGTACGTGCGCGCAATGTAGGAGAACTTGGCGAGCACAATAATTTCATTTTTTTGGTTTCTTATTTAGCGGGCGTCTGGACTCTGCGGCAACGTCTGCCGCCTTTTAGCCTTAGCAGGCGTCGAAACTATGTTGAAGTAGCTGTTCACCGAGAGGGCTTAATTCTGGGAGTATGGCACCCCCCCAAAAAAAGTTGTACGATAAACTTCCCCAACCCGGTGCCTTCCAGATGTGTTGAACTTCACTTCTCACCCTCTCCAGCCAGCATGACTGTACCGCTGGAGGATGATGGGAGTTGTAATCCCATGTATCTGCAGACTAGCAAATGGGGAATGCTGATTTCGGAAAGGAAGGCGGCGGAATGAATTAGAAATGTAATTTCTCTGAACTGAGCCTTTTAATCGGTTGAAAACTGAGCTGGAGAAGCAGCCTGAATACAAGCCTAACGTTAGTCCATCTCTGCTGTCCAAAGTAAGCACTGGTTCAGAGGCTACGCTGTGACGGGGTGTTTATCTCATAGAAAAATTCATTAAGAATTCAATTCCTCCCTTTCACTGGGGATCTAGCCAGGGCATCCAGGGGTGGGGGCTGAATTCCTTAGCAGCCCGATGAATCATCTTCCAAACCATCAAGTGTCATCACACTGTAATTAAACCGACTGCTTCCACCATAACTGTGTAGCCCAAAGTGAAATGTTACTGGATGACGAAATATTTACACCTCTTTCTTTCATTCTTTCTTTGAAAACGATTTCTTTACACTTCATTTGAAAGAGGGAGGGGAGGGAATAATTTCATCTTTGCCCAAATTTAGAATTACTCATACTGAGTCTCTAATGCTCGCAAAGCTTCTGGCACATAAATATTGCCTTCACGGGCTGTGGCTTCTGCACCGCTTGATGACTGCAAAGTTTGCTTACTTCTTACAACTGCAGCCATAGGTATCAAGTTAAAATCTTAGCCACCTAAGAGAAAGTCCCATTGAATTGCACAGTAAAGTAAGACGTTGCTTGATGAGGCAGTTTGAACACCCATAAATTAAACATACTGACTTGTGGATATGAATGGCTGCAAAAAGTGGTGTTTAAATACCAGAGGACCACCACTTATATGCAGTCCAGAGCTATGCAAGTTTACTTGGAAATAAGCTTCATGGTATTCAACTAGGATTACTGCCAGGTCATCACGCATATGTCTGAAGCCCATATGTGTACATAGAAACGAGTCTAAGTGTTTTTTTTTTTGGGGGAGGGGATGTTATTCCAGAATGAGCATGCACATGTTTACAGCCTTATCTCACAATACTATACATGAGATTAAGCTTGTGGAACTCCTTGGGACTTAAATCTACATGTACTGAGATATGACTACATTATAAAAGCTGCATTTGTGTACACAGAACTTAATGGGAGTAAGTTTTATTTGATTCAGTTGATCCTATTTTTTAAATAAAGGACTGTACTATACTATTGAGTTTTTTTCCCAATTTGCTCTGTATTGAGATTGTCCCTTGTAGATTCCTGCATTAAATTTCATTGTTTGCATCATAACATTTGCATTACCAAACAGTTTTTTTTTTGTATGTACTGAATATTATTGGCATTGTTGAAGTTGCACGTATATTGCATAGAGATGTTGCAGATCCTATAGCCACTTCACAAGAATCTGGAATCTACATAATAGACAGGCAAGGATCACCTATGGATCCAAACTAACTGCTCACTGTTCCCTGATTCTGTTCTCAGGATTCTTCAGATGCAGGCAATGTACCTGAGAGATGGGAGGCTGGGAGGAGCAAGGAGGGAATCAGTTCAGTTGAACAATCTGATTATAACTATTGCGATAGGTTTGCTCTGCATAATTAGGAAGAAACTGATGCTGGTTCAAGCTACAGTTCTATGCATGCATTCCTGATGCCCCATTGAACTGTCTGGGCTTTATTTCTGAACACATATGCTTAGTGTTGAACTGTAAGCAGAACTTGGAAAATTTACTTTTTTCAGACTGCAGCTCCTTCCAGCATGATCACTGAATGCTAGGTCTGAGATTCTGGGAACGGTGGTGTTAAGAAATAATTGTTCCAAGCTCAGAAGGCAAGTGATCACCAGTATCTTCAAGTTAAAGGTGGCAGTGGAGTGGGGCAGAGATTATACTAATTGTAATTGTACTGTATAGAATACTGTGAATTGCCGGCTACAGATGTCCAGAGAGGAGGGACAAATATGGAAAGAAAGAGAAGTCTAATCTGCAGAATTTGTTAGAACAATTGTGTAGGTTAGACTTGATTTTATTGACTCTTAAAAACTGTGTGAGAGGTTTGCCTTGTGTGTGTGTTATGTTCTTGATGATCTGTTTCTAAACGTCAGTGGCAATAAAAAAAAATATATGTTCCGGCAGTGGATCATTCCTATCATACCCTCTTGAAATGTCTTGGAGTTTCACTCTGGTCTAGGAGGAAGGGCATTGTGAGCAAGCAAATTTTGCAGTAGGGTCTTGTGATTTTGTCATTGATTGGCCTCGCACAAAGGAAGTCGCTCGGTTGATTCCCGTTCCCCCAATGGTGCATGCATATAATTAAAAAAAGAAGAAAAACTTTCTTTTTACAGGGATTGTAAATTACCCTAGCAGCTATTACCAAACAATTTTCCTTGCTGGGAATAATTGCACACATCACAAAATGCTATTGATCTTGAGTTGATTTGCACACGGCTAGCTACGTAGAGCACTGCAGCCATCATCATGCTCAAGAGTCCTTTCCAATAACACAGTTACTCAACTCAATACTGGCTCTCTTCTTGAGATTTGATGGGGTGGGTAGCAGAGGTACCACACAGAACCATTTGTATTTCTTCTTAGTATAGAATCAATGGTTCCCCATTAGATGTGTCTAGCAGGACAGGTGCTCCCTCCTGGCATATATGTGTGTGTTTTTTTAAAAATAGTTAAAATTAATAGTGCATTTCATCATGTTTCACTTCAAAGGTCACAGAGAGCTGGTGACACATCGTAAGTCTGGTGGAGCTTCCATGTGAAACCAAATCTTCTTCTACAGCCATAGCTTGATCTCAACTAAAAGACTGTACCTTAGATTAAAGTTTTGTTTTACTGTTTGCAAGAGCTGCGGGTTTCAGAGGGCAAGTGACCTCTAACACATGAGCTTTGCCTTCAATATTGGTTGGGGCAGTGAGAGCAAAATGAATAGGGGTGTGTGAGAGCAATTAGAGAGGAGCATACCTGCTTGTATCCTGGGAACAACAACTGGGGTTCCTAGAGTCCCAGAATGTCACATCTAGCCACATAAACAATAGACAGATGCTGTTTGTGCTAGTCAAGCCTGCAGAGCAGGATGAGCTCCAACTCAACAGGATAGTCCAGAGGATGCTATTAAGAGAACGGAAAAGACAATAGCAAAGGGATGTGGAAATGTTAGCGTATCTTTGGGAGGAACAGTGAAGCTTTGCAACCATTTGCTGTTTTGCTGTGATTTTGTTTATTTGTTTGCTTAGCAGCATAACTGAGTGCAATATTAATATTAGTACTGAATACTTCACAAAAATGAAAGCCTGGGGAGATATTATTATGTCACCAGCAGCTGGGAGAGAGATGTTTCTTTAAATAAAACCTATCACTCACTTTTTAAAAAATCATAAGGTAGTTGCTTTTTTTCTCACATGGAACAATTTCTATACCATCGCTGATGTACAGAATTGGCATGGATGCACTGTGTGTGTTGAGCTGAAGTGATGTGATGTGAGTTCTGTGCAAGTGGACCTACCCTTCTGTCCTTTCAGCTGTTGTCTTATCTCATCTGAGAAGCAAATAACAAGGGGGCTAAGGGAAAAGGGTATTTCAACCCAGAAGGTGATCCGGACTACATAATTTCCCTTGATTGTCCAAAAGGAGGGTCCCAGACTAAGCCTGATTCACCTGTCCTCTGATGTCAGTCATGGTGATGACCCACACAGTATATTGGAACTATGTTAAGGAGAAAAAAAATACAGGGAGGCCATTTTTAGGGACATCTGCTTGATAATACTATGAGATGTGATGACCCACACAGTATATTGGAACTATATTAAGGAGAAAAAAAAAATACAGGGAGGCCAATTTTAGGGACATCTGCTTGATAATGCTATGAGACGTTATGTATATTTATTTATTTATTTTCCAGCTTTTAACCTGCCCATTTACTTGTGCTAAACGGTTATGTCACTTTGATATCACTTCCATGGGATTTGAGTTTGATGAAGTATATTTATTTATTTTCCAGCTTTTACCCTGCCCATTTACTTGTGCTAAACAGTTATGTCATTTTGATACCACTTCCATGGCTCCAGCCTAAGGAATGCTGGGATTTGAGTTTGATGAAGTACTTAAAAGTGCTGTGGTGGAGTTCAGGGGTGTGCCCTAGAGCTGCCTGGCAGGCAGTTTTAAGTCCCTCACTGCACTTCAAATCCCAGGACGCCAAGGATTCAGCCAGGATGATAAGAGTAATGTTCAATTGCTCTGACTAGCCAATGCAGCTCTGTAGATCAGTCCTTAGTTCCAAATAATATGGTTTAGAATTGTAGCTTTGGCATGAGGCAGCCTCCAACCCTACACAAAAACTAATGAAATAGACATTTAAAAGGATATTTAAGAGGATATTCACGCACTTAGATGTTAAAAATCTACTTTGTGTATCATGGAATTTTATATGCAATTCTCAGAAGGATGGTTATGGTAATTTTGTTCTATCCTCTATGGTGTCAAGTTCATGCCTTAAGTGTGCCTTTTGTCTTCTGGAGACCTGAAGAACAAGTCTAT